TTAATGATAGATACATCACAAGGGGTAAAAGTACTTGGACCATAAGAATAAGTGTGGTAGGATGAGGTTTTCCTCTTAATAGACATATATCATATGTTTGTTAGAATACATAATTATGGGTGTATTTCTGATATATTCTAGCTATATGAGAATGAAGTGGTGCCGCTTCATAGAGTTCAATGGCTTGACTCTTAAATTCTAATGAAAAGTATATGAGACACAAGGCCTTATTAAATGTGTCATATTAATAATTCGATCAATGGTACCGAGATTTCATGTGTGAGTTATGCACGCTTGTTCTAATGAATAATTAGTTCAAAACTTGTCTACCAATCTATTTGGGGATGAGTGAAAACTGAACTTACTAAGTATTGGCTTAAATCGTAAGATAGCTTTATCTAAAACCATGAAATTTACTGAAAAATGAATTTAGATATATTTTGAAAATGGTGGAGGATTGTTGGAGAAATTTCCAAAATATTAAATTGATAAATAATAATAGTTAAATTAACAAAAAAAATTGCCAAAAGTTGCAACTATCTAGAATAAACCCAGAGACCCTATAATGGTTGGGTGCATGGTCAAAAGGTGCAACCACCAGATTAACATGACTTTTCATACAAAAGTTTGTTGCTATTGATATACAATGGTTCATGAATGGTCATGTTGAAATCAAATAAAACATTGTTTCTCCACACCAAGCGGTACAAGTTTTTTTATAAATAGAGATACTTGCCAACCATAAAAGATATATGAAAATAATATATTTCAGAGGCAAAATTTATATCTAAGTCATTTATTTATTTCTCTTGTGCACGAGAATAAATGAGAAAACTTTATTCAGTAAAATATCATTAATCGATATGCTTAATGTGAATGTGCGATTCATGTTAAGGTTTCCAAAGTATCCTGAAGGGAATTCGCCGATTAACCCTTTTGCATCCAATTTGCATAAATTGGTGGAGACGAATCGAACCTAAAGCTTTGTGTAAACACATGCTTTGGAATTATTTTGTGCAACTTTCATCGTATCGTCTTCATCATCTTCTTCTTGTTCATGTTTTGCAGAAGACTCCCAACACATGATCTAACAGAAAATCCAGCAACGTAAATGCATGTGAAAAACACAACTTCTATAGCATACCACTTTGGTAAATCACCAGTTGTTCCAAACTTAGCACCAATTGAAATTGCAACTACAACCTTCAAAACATTAAAAAACATTGAATTAATGAAACCTGACAATTAAGCATTTTAACACCGCCATCGAGAAAAAGAGCTTTTCTATGTAGGCAGTTTGTTCTTATTTTTTCAACTCTGTTTACAGTTTTAGTAGTTTTTGAATTTGTTTTATTATAAATTTTTTCATTAGATATGGCGCACCCTGATGTTTTCCCTAAAAATGTTGTGTCTTCGGATGCCAAAGATGTTGTTGTGAATGAGGTAGATGATGTCAACTAATTTAAATATGCACAAGAGTTTGAATTTCGTGACCCCATGCTTCAATGGATTCGTACGTAGGCCTCAAAACTAGGATTTGGTGTGGTAATCGGAAAGTCCGATAATGGTTCGGATAAAAGAGGTGCATTTATGAAACTAACATGCAAAAGAAGTTGGAAATATATACGTCCTCTCCGGAATTTTAAACGAGATGACACTGGTTCAAGAAAACGTGAATGTCCCTTTAAGTTGTATGGTTATATGTTGGAAAATAAAAAATTGAGATTTAATGTCATATGTAGTTTACGTAACCATGACTTGTGTAAAAGTTAGTCGGTCATCCATATGCGTGTTGCCTCATTCCAGAAGAGAAGGAATGCGTTTCAGACATAACATTGAATTTGGTTCAATAGAAAAACATACTTGCAACTTTGAAACGTAAAAGACCCAAAAATATCTTAAATATCAAGTAAGTGTACAATATTTGACACCAATATAACAAGACGCTAAGGGGGATAGAAGTGCAATGCAACAACTATTGAAACTTTTGGATGATAACATTTATGTTTCAAGGTATCGAACGAGTGTGGATGAAACTACAAGAAAATTAGGGTTTTATGACAAAAATCGCGACAATTATTTGATAACTGTCGTAACTCTCCTATAGAGACAGTTGCCACGACAGTTTACACAAACCACCCTTTCATTTTTAAAAAATTAATACATGTCACAACGGTAAAACAACCCTCTCCCCCCAACACGCACGTTACTCCTTTAAAGGCTGAAAAATGTATCACAGGTCACGATGGTAAAACAGTTGTCGCCCCCTAAACCTTTCAAAACGCATGTTACCCCTTGAAAATATGAAAATTTTGTCAAAGGGCATGACGGTTACCTCACCCGCCGTCCCCCTAAAACCTTTGCTCGCGCACAACCAGTGAAGTGAGGCCAAAAATCAAAACATTTTCATTAGAGATGGTTCGTGTTCTAATGTCAAGAGAGGCAACTCCAGCGAATTCATAAAGACAACCCATAATCAATTTGTTAAGACAAACATTTTTCTGCTCATGAAGTTGAGTTGCTAGTTGTATGAATTTTTTGGCTATTTGAATATAGGCAAAACACAAGATGTAGTGATACAACCAAAGGGTGCGTAAAGTGATATGATCATAATAGGAAACTTCATCAGTTTGTTCATGGTGAAATTTGATGTAGGCATTGAAGCCGACATGGTCAATGGTGAAATTAGGCTTGGTCTTGTTCTTGATAATAAGGACGAAAGTATCTCCAATTGGTCGAAGACCAGTGATGGTATCAACTTTGAAAAATGCAGAAGTTCTTATCCCACATGGAAGCCAAAATGTGTTCGTTGAAGATTCTCAAAAACAAAGGGAAATTTTGAGCATGTTGACGTTATACCTTGACATAGTTCTTGACAGCTGAATCAAGTCGAAGATGCCTTGATTTTGCCATGTTTTTCCTTTCTTTTTCTCTATTTTGTTTAACCAATTGATGCAGGTTTCACTATTGGTATTAGGAGGAGAGCGGAAAACATGATTGGTTTGTTCCATGAACCTTAACTCAAAACTCTTCTCTTCAAATACACGAGGTTTACATGAGAGTAGACAAGGAAAAACTTCTTCAATTTATCTGGTTTCATAGATGATCTAGGCAAAGGGTCGAAAAATGCATAAGCGTTATCTGCAATAGATAATGGAATAAGTACCTGAGAAGTCCAAATGACTGATTTTTCTGTCTTCATCGGTGATTCTAGAACATAGGTGTGATCGCTGGTGAAGCTAGGACCCTCAATGTCAACAACATAGGGGATTTGATTTTATTTTTCTACGCCGGAGTTGGAAGAAGATGTCACTTTTGGAGTTTGAGATGAAGAGAAAGTGAAAAGGGGTGTTGCAAAAAGATAATTTTTTAGGGTTATGAAAAAAGTAACATTGTGAAGCGGGAGAGGTTTATGTAAATGTTGGAAAAAAAAACCTTTTCAGCTTTCTCTCTTAAATTAAATGTTGATTGTTGTTTTAAATCATTAGTAATTAATGATATTTCCTTTATTTAATATGATGACCTTGAGAATTAGAGCCATGATGACAGTTACCTACACATTGCAGATGTGGCGGTTGAGTGGTGGCAATCGTGATGGTGATAACTTGTATGTTGCAGACATGGCGATTGAGTGAAGGGTGTCATGATGGAATTTACATGTGCCTGATGGTTTTAATAGTATTATGAGTTTGACTAAAAACACCATCTTTCTGCCGTATTAAAAATAGAATCGAAAGATGACATTTTATGGGGATATTTGTTAGTCTGAGATTTTAGCTTAGCATTTCTACATGAATGTGTGATATAAGATATATAAAAATTTTAAGTGTAGATAACCAAGTCATATGTTCGGCATCAAGTCACAGACTTGACACGTTAACCTTTTCGACAGATGTGTGGTGGTTTGAAGCGGTTCAAGTGCCGAGGACACGTGGGAATAAATCAGAAGACAAAAGTCCATGTAGTAGTATACGTGTCGGATTTTGAAGAGTTAGTTGTTGCTGGTAGTTTATATTATATTTAGTATATAAGTAAATTTCAACTATGTAGTCAGGGGTCGCAATTCATTTGTTCTCTTTAGAACTCATACATCTGATTCTCTGAGATAACAAATTTGTGAGAAATGCATGAACTTATGTTTCATTTTCAATTTCAAACGTTTCGATTGTTTTATTATTGTTTACTTATTTACTTGTTTTTGTTGATTTAAGCACTTTCACTCTGTATCTTTTGTTATTTGCATTTGAAATTCTTTCAGCAGAGTTACATTGTCTCAAACGTTTTTACACAAAGTATCATTTAAGATTTTCAAATTTAATCTTATAAATTAATTAACTCGTGATTGCTTAACAAAAACATCAAATAAATTAGTAATTTTTGAAATATTATTTTTCCTCGTATCATTCAGTCTCTTCTTTCACAGCTAATTTTTAATTTGTATCAACTAATGCTTCCTGAATAGTTAAGCAAACAATAGCAATTTTACAAACATGAATATCTCCCAGAAAATCCAATTCCTCATTAAAATTCTCCCCACCCTGTCCAAAAGGATAATGTTACTGTTGTTACCACTGACTTTCTCAATCAAATTACTTTAAAATCCCTTTCATAATTATTTAATTCTTCAACATCTTCCTCTGATTCTTAAAATGGAATCGCATTATAATTCCTATACGGAAAGGCTTTATTTTCATTCCTTATAAAAAAAATACAATGCTTACCACCTATAACTTTCTGATTCTTTGCTTGCCTTTAACGAGGAATGATCCAATATCATAAACCAAATCAAATTTCTTTCTAAACTTTAGAAAAGAATCTTAAGCCATGTTCTATAAACGTTGTTCTAGGTGTCCAATTAAATAAATAATCACACAAGAGTTTCTTCATAGGTAACAACTGTATGTTTATTGATCACAACACAAATATTTATACATATAAGTCTAACATTCAGATTTTCTTTTTTCTTGCAAGCCTTTCTTTATTAATATTTTGAAAAAACCATGGAAGCGTTGGGTGTAATCTGGGAAATTGCTAAAAGTTTGTTCAGTTGCACAAAAGCACAAGCTGCCTATGTTTATAAGCTGCAGGAGAATCTGGAATCATTGATGGAAAAATGGGAAGATCTTGAAAACAAGAAAAAGGATGTGCAAACAGAAATTGATAGAGCTGAGAGCACAGGAGTCATGAAAAGATCAAATGAAGTGATTGGTTGGCTACATGAATTTCAAAATTTTGAAGAGGTATTTTTCATACTAGCTTTTCTTTATTTGACTTTACTCTACATCATATTGAATTTCAAGTTTCGAAACTGAAAAATATAGCTCCGTGTCAACTCAACTAGTTACATATATTTCTTCGAACATAATGACATTTTTCTAAATTTTCTACCTACCTCATATGTTCATGACTCTGTATTTCTAACAGAAAATGAAAGATATTCCAAATTCTCAAGAAATTCAAAGTAACCAATGTCTGAATGGTTATTGCGCAAAGAATTGTTTGTCAAGCTACAACTTAGGGAAAAAAGTTGTTAAGAGGCTCAATGAGGTAAACGGCCTGCTTTCTAGAGCTGGTAATCTACAGATTGCTCTGAAGCAACCACCTAAACCTATAGATGAGATGCCTTCTAGTGAGACTATAGGTTTAGACGTTATGGTTCAGAAAGTATGGAATTCTCTTAAGGATGATTCTGTTGGCGTAATTGGTTTATATGGAATGGGTGGTGCTGGGAAAACAACCCTTATGAAAAGAATTCACAATGAATTAGGAACAAGGGATCATAGTTTTGATCTAGTGTTATGGATAGTGGTTTCTAGAGATTGTGATATCAATAAGTTAATGAATGATATCAGCAATAAATTAGGAATTGAGGAAGGTTTTTGGAATAGAAGTACTCAAGACCAAAGAGTATCAAAGATTTATGACCGATTGAAAGGAAAAAGGTTTTTGTTGATGTTAGATGATTTGTGGGAAAAGTTGGAACTAGACACAATAGGAGTTCCAGTTCAGAAAGAAAACAACAAATCAAAAGTAATGTTCACAACACGGTTTGAAGATGTGTGTGGTAAAATGCAAGCTCAAAATAAATTCAAAGTGGAATGTTTATCAGTGAAAGAAGCTTTTGATTTGTTTTGTAACAAAGTAGGTGATGAGACTCTAAAATGCCACACGGAGATCCGAAACATAGCACATGAAATGGCTAAAGAATGTGGAGGATTGCCTCTAGCGTTAATCACTGTGGGAAGTGCCATGGCTGGAGTGGATAGTTTGGAAGCTTGGATGGTTGCGAAAAATAATTTGAGGAGTTCCCCTTGGACTGCCTCAGGTTTAAAGGATAAAGTTTTTGGTATCCTCAAGTTTAGCTACAACAAACTTCCAGATGAGGCACATAAAAGGTGCTTCCTGTACTGCGCATTATACCCAGAAGATTTTGAAATAGGCATTGATGACCTTATTGATCGATGGATCGGTGAGGGATTTCTTTGTAGAGATGATATGAGTATATATGATATGCACATTCAAGGGAAGTCAATTATTGAAAAATTAATACTTTCATGCCTATTAGAGGAGAGTATTGACATCGAATCTTTTCATTATCTTGAGAGGAATAATAGGACAGTTAAGATGCATGATGTGATTAGAGATATGTCACTATGGTTAGCTCGAGATGAAGACGAAAACAAAGACAAAGTTTTAGTTCAGGGGGATGTATTTTCAATTTCAAAAATGGATTCTAAAAGATTGAATGTTGTAGAGAGGATTTCAATAATAACTGCTACAAAATTTTCAGAAAACTACAATCTACCTGCTTGTCCAAATCTCACCACTGTTTGTTTTCGCTTGCATGGGGTTTTCAACACTTCTACTAATCTTTCATCAACAAATTTCCAATCCCTAAAACGTTTGAGAGTGTTGGATTTATCATATACTCGTTATATTGTTCTACTCCCCCCTGAAATAGGTGAGTTAATCAACTTGGAGTTCCTTAACATTTCAGGAACATTTGTTTCTTCGTTTCCCATCGAATTCAAGAAGTTGAAAAATTTGAGGGTATTCCTTATGGATGATATGAAATCCTTTGATGGTCAGGTCAGTCCATTATTGGCGGTGATAGAAAGTCTTGAACAATTAAAAGTGTTTAGATTTAGTAGACTCCACGGCACCGTACAAGAAGATATATCATTACTAGAGAAGCTGGAATCCTTGCCAAAACTGGAGGAACTTGACATCCAATTAACCGGCATCACTAGTATGCAGAGACTATTTAACTCCACCAAATTACGAGGTTGCTCTCGACGTCTTATGCTTTCTAATTATGAGGTATGCTCCACACTTGAAATGTCATCATTATTAGCATCCATGTCAGAAATGACTCATTTGGACTGCATACATCTTATAACGATGCGCAGCCTAATGGATGGTTCATCAGTTACTGAGAAATGCCATCTTGGCAAGCTTCGACAGGTGCGCATACATGATTGTAGTTCGATTACTCATTTGACCTGGTTGACGTATGCTCCACTTCTCGAGTATCTTGTTGTTATTTATTGTAGTTCAATTGAACATGTGGTGAAGGAAGCCGAAGATGACGAAGAATTTGGCTCAGAATCTAAGAATGATAATATATTCACAAATCTTAAAGATCTTTGCCTTGAAAATATGCCAAAGCTGGTGAGCATCCACAAAAGAGCTTTGGCTTTTCCTTCACTAAAACGCATTCGTGTAACTGATTGCCCCAATCTGAGGAAGCTTCCTTTCAACTCCACCTTTGCTTCCAAAGACAACTTGGTTGCAATCCAAGGAAGCATCAAGTGGTGGGACAATTTAGAGTGGGATGACACAATTATCCAACACTTACTACGTCCTAAATTTCAACATGGCTAGGACACTGGTGAATATTGGTAACCAAATCTTAACTGTTTGTTTGATAATGATGTAAACTTATATCATTAACAAGTATCGATGTATATTCTAATTCCAGTTTCATTCTGTTCTTTGCTGATTACTCAGGTTTTATGTGTAAATTTCTTTTCTATTTTATTTGTTAATTTTGATTTGTCGTTGCTTTATACTACTCAATCTTGTTTGCAGATGATTTTTGTTTTCTAGTTCTAGTTTAATCTGTTTCTCTCAATTGGGCTTTACTCCTGTAAAATTTTGTTGAATTACAACTTTTTCATAATTTAGTATAACTCTGTTGTAAGCAATAACGTCATTGAGATAAGGATGTGAGATGGTCTATGGTCTACTTAGTTTACGTCATTTTTTAAATTCTATCTTATCTAAAAGCATAGTCTTGGTTGAAGAAAATAGAATAAAAGAGTAGATCATTAAAATAAATGGAAAAGTGTTAAGGCTCATGCTTTTCTCCTGGCTTTAGAACAAAGAGCGTGACTGAATTGTCCAATACCTCTCTTTTGGCTCCCAAGTTAGAGTCTCATGAATTGTGAATCATGATGTATTTTCATTTCAGACCTAAAGGACTATTGATGTTTGAGTAAGATAAATGTAAGGGAATAAAGCTCAGAAGTTGGTTTGAAGAAACAGCTTAAATGGATAAGTTGTTTGAAGGCTGCATTTCAGTTTTGACAGTTGTAACAGTTAGTTAGTTTGTTTTTGTTTATTACATGTTTAGCACTATATAAGGGAATGTATTGTAGTGTGTAACAACTAATATACCATTTTGAATAAAGTTTCTCAATTCTCCTCAATTATCTCTCTCTCTCTCTCTCAATTTCATCTTCATCTTCTCCATTTTCCCTTCCACCATTTTTATCCACCCTCTATTGTTTTGTGTTCTAACATTTGACATCAAGAGCCTTGGTTCTGATCCAATTATCCGCTGCAAACATGGTTACCGTTTCCAACAATCGAATCCCTTCCAATCTCCCAATTCTCAATTCGAAGAACTATGACAAGTGGGCAAAGCAAATGAAGGTATTGTTTGGGTATCAAGATGTTCTTGATATCATCAACAATGGTGTTACACGACTTGGGGCAGAAGCTACTGCTGCTCAACAATCTACAAATCAAGAAGAGAAGAAGAAAGATTACAAAGCACTCTTCTTGATTCATTCTTGTGTCGATACCGACAACTTCGAAAAGGTGGGTGATTGTGAATACGCGAAACAAGCATGGGAAATCCTTCAAAAGACATATGTTGGGGCTGATAAAGCCAAAGTTGTGAGGTTACAAACTCACAAGCGCCAATTCGAGTTAATGCAAATGGAGGAGAAGGAGTCAATATGCGACTATGTGACGCGCATAACGCGATTAGTGAGCCAAATCAAGGCTTGTGGTGAATCCTTAGAGGAAAAGAATGTTGTGTCCAAGATCTTGCGTTCTTTAACGCCAAGATTCAACAACATTGTAGTGGCTCTAGAGGAATCAAAGGATCTTTCAACATTGACCAAGAATGAGCTTCAAAGTTCCCTTGAAGCTCATGAGCAAAGAATGGATGAAAGAAGTAATGACAAGGCCAAGGCGGAAGTGGCTTTGCAAGCACGGTTCAATGACAAGAACAAGCGTCCAAAAGGGAAATGGAATCCGAGTGGGAAGCCTAACTTTGGTGGAAAGGATCCACAAAATTCAAGGGCTTCATCAGGTCAAAGAAAAGAGGGCAGCTCCAAGCAAGGTGGTGGTCATGGCAACTATAGAAAGAAGATTGACAAGAGTGGTGTGAAGTGCTATAATTGTCAAAAGCTTGGGCAATTTACAAATGAATGTGTTGCAAAATCCAAGGAAAAGCATGGTGGTGAGGCAAGGGTTTCAAGGAAAGATGAGGAGGAAGATGATACGCTTCTTGTGATGATCACAGAGGAGAATTATGGTGTCAAGGAAGGGCTGGACAGTAACTACAGTAGAGGAAAGTTGTTGGCCAGCAATGACAGTTTGGTGCAAAAGTGTGTCGAAAAGTGTCCAGAACGAAGCGCAATGGTATCGGTTCGAGATGGAACCCAAGCAAGTGATGAATGGTACTTGGATTCTGGTTGTTCAACATATATGACGGGTAGAACAAATTGGTTTGTCAAGATCAATCAAGCCACCAAGAACAAAGTGAAATTTGCCGACGATACGACTTTGGAGGCCGAAGGAGTAGGTGATGTTTTGATCATGAAGAGGGATGGTGGGCATTCCTTGATCAAATATGTCTTGCATATTCCTGGGATTAAGTGTAACCTCTTGAGTATTGGCCAATTGCTTGAGAAAGATTACACTATCCGGTTGGAAAACAAGATTTTGCGCGTTATTTACCGAAATGGAGTTTTGGTTCTTAAAGCACCAATGGCTGCCAATAGAACTTTCAAGATAGCTTTGAAAGTGATAGAGCATAGGTGTTTAGCTACAAAGGCAAGTCGTGAAGAGTGGTTGTGGCATTACCGTCTTGGGCACCTTAATTTTCGAAACCTTGACATGTTACAAAAGCATAGTATGGTGACCGGGCTGCCAAAGATTATGATTCCAGCTGAGTTGTGTGATGAATGTGTTCAAGAAAAGCAACACAATGCTGCATTTAGCAAGGATGCGGGTCATAGGACCAAGTGCCACCTTGAGGTGGTGTATTCAGATGTTTGCGGACCGATGCAAGTTAATTCGTATGGAGGAAATAGGTACTTTGTGACGTTCATTGATGATTTTAGTAGAAAGTTGTGGATTTATCTCATCAAGAGAAAGGATGATGTATTTGATGTATTCAAGAGTTTCAAATCCATGGCGGAGCGGCAATGTGGTCACAAGTTGAAAATTCTCAAGATCGATGGTGGAGGTGAGTATACCTCAAATGAGTTTGGGAATTATTATGATGATGAGGGTATAGTGCGTGAGATTGTGCCACCTTATACGCCTCAGCAAAATGGTATTTCCGAGAGGAAAAATAGATCGATAATGAACATGGTCTGTTGTATGCTAAGAAGCAAGAACTTGCCAAAAGAATTATGGGGTGAAGCCGTTTCAACCGCCGCATATTTGTTGAATAGGTGCCCTATAAAGAAGCTTGACAAGGTGACACCAGAAGAGGTATGGTCTGGTCACAAACCAAGCTTAAGTCATTTGAGATTTTTCGGTTCGATTGCATTTCGACACATTCCGGGTCAACTTCGAAGAAAGTTGCATGACAAGGGTGAGATGATGTTACTTGTTGGTTACCACCCTACCGGAGGCTACAAATTGTTTGATGTCAGTAGCAAGAAGATTGTGATAAGTCGAAATGTCGTAATCGATGAGTTGAGGCTGTTTGATAGCAAGAAAAGTCAGATTTTAGTAGCAGAAATCGGTTTCCCAGAAACAGGAAACCGGTTTCCCCTTATTTCTGCTGAACCTGAAACTGGGATTTTCGAAGAAGAAACCGATTTCTCAGATAATGGAAACCGGTTTCCAGCTGAAAATGCAGTTTTTCAGGAAACAGCAGAGGCTATGCAACAGCCACCTTCAATGTCCGAAAATGCCAAAAACGCATAAAACAGCAAGAGACCAACTAGGCAAAGGGGATTGCCTCAAAGGCTCCAAGATTGTGAAGTGTTCCATGATAACGAGATCAATAAGGATGGCGATCTCATACACTTTGCACTTATGGCCGAATCCGAACCCTTAAGTACGGAGGAGGCACTAAGTGATCCAAAGTGGGTATGTGCTATGAAGGAAGAACTGGAATCGATTGAGAAGAATAATACTTAGGAGTTGGTTGACTTGCCGGAAAGGAAGAAGCCAATCGGTGTGAAATGGGTCTATAAGGTGAAAGCGAATCCTAAAGGCGAGATAGTCAAGCATAAGGCTCGACTTGTGGCAAAAGGATTTTTGCAACGTGAAGGCATAGACTATGAAGAAGTATTTGCACCGGTAGCTCGAATAGATACCATCCGACTTGTTGTTGCTATTGGGAATAGTAACAATTGGCCGCTTTATCAAATGGACGTGAAATCCGCCTTCTTGAATGGTCCTCTTGAAGAAGAAATGTATGTGGGGCAGCCACCCGGTTTTGTTGTGAAGAATCAAGAGGATAGGGTCTAGAAGTTGAGAAAAGCACTCTATGGTTTGAAACAAGCTCCAAGAGCTTGGAACAAACGCATAGATGGGTTCTTACTACATGTTGGCTTCAAGAAGTGTGCATCCGAACATGGTGTTTATGTGAAGAGGAATGCAAGCAAAGATGCAATTATTCTTTGCCTATATGTGGATGATTTGTTGATTACGGGCAACAATGAAGCAAAGATCTCAAAGTTCAGAGGAGAGCTTATGGAAGAATTTGAGATGTGTGACCTTGGTGTGATGCAATACTTCCTTGGCATAGAGTTCCATAGATCAAAAGTGGGGCTGCTTATGCCACAAAGGAAGTATGCACTCGAGATACTAAAAAGGTGTGAGTGGAGCATTGTAATGTGGAAATTACACCAATGGAAGCAAGGTTGCAGCTATCCAAGAGTGAGGATGGACAAGATGTGGATCCAACTCAATATAGGAGGTTGATTGGATCACTAAGGTACTTGTGCAATACCCGGCCAGATTTGGCGTTTAGTGTCAGAATTGCAAGTAGGTTCATGGAGAGGCCTAAGGTATCACACTTGGATACAATCAAGAGGATCCTAAGATACATCAAAGGAAATCTTGGTTGTGGAATACTCTTTCCCGCAACGGATAATGGCGGTAAATGCGAATTACTTGGTTATACTGATTCTAGTTGGTACAGGGATAAGGATGATAGGAAGTCAACGACCGGCTATCTCTTTATGTTCAGAGGAACACCAATCTCTTGGTGTTCTAAAAAGGAACCGGTGGAAGCACTCTCTTCTTGCGAGGCTGAGTATGTAGCTGCATCATTGTGTGTGCGCCAAGCGGTGTGGCTTATGAACCTATTAAGAGAATTGGACAGCAGCTTTGAAAGTGTTGTC